TGAAAAGGCATTGACCTTAGTGACAAAAGGATGCTTCCTAGCATCAATTGATATAAAACATGCATAATTTATAGTGTGAAAATAGCAGAAGAACAGCAAATTCTTTTTCGATTTGTTTGGGAAGGAAATATCTATCAATACACATGCCTTGCAAATGGCGTTTCTGAAGGGCCAAAAATATTTACGAAATTATTAAAGCCGGTATATGCAAAATTGAGAAGTCTTGGCCATTCTAGTTCAGGATTTATTGATGACAGTTTATTGTGTTCAGATAATTACCTTGAATGTGTTGAAAATATAAGATGCACAAAACATCTAATGGAAACACTTGGTTTTATAATCAATGCAGAAAAGTCTGTCCTTATTCCCCAACAATCATTGTTGTTTCTGGGAAATATTATAGATTCTGAAAGTATGACGGTGACTTTACCCAAAGATAAAATGGATCACATTGTACAGCAGTGTAAAATGCTTATCATTAAAACAGAAGCAAAAGTAAGACTAGTAGCTAAAGTGATTGGAATTATAGTTTCAACATTCTCAGCTGTAGAATATGGTAAACTCCATTATAGAGAACTTGAAAAGCAGAAGATGAGTGCTTTAAAAAGCAACAATGGAAATTATGATGCTATGATGCACATTACAATTAGTATGAAGCAAGAATTACAATGGTGGATTGAAAATGTCCACTTGCAAAGAAGGAAAATTGACAAAAGAAATGTTGACATTATATTGTATACTGATGCAGTCAAATTAGGCTGGGGTGCTCATTTGGAAGGTCAAAAAATTGGGGGTAGATGGTTTCCAGAAGAAGCTAACCTTCATATAAATGCTTTAGAGTTACTAGCATTATTATATGCATTGCAGTCTTTTACATTTAGATTTGAAAATAAACATGTAAAGATCATGAGTGATAATATTACAGCATATGACTATATTCAGAATATGGGTGGAATTAAATCTTATGTTTGCCATAACATAGCAAAAAAGATTTGGCATTGGTGTATCGAGAAAAATGTTTGGCTCACCTGTGTCCATGTGCCAGGGAAAGATAATGTAGATGCTGATGATGCTTCTAGGAAGTTTAATGAATGTTTAGAATGGAAGTTGAATGAGAATGTATTTCAAAAGATATGTGAAAATTTTGGAAATCCATTTATTGATCTTTTCGCCTCTAGATTAAATGCTCAAGTTGAAAGATATTGTTCATAGCAGGCAGACCCCTTTGCTTGGGGTATTAATGCATTAACTTATGATTGGGGAAAACTGAATTATGTTTATCTGTTTCCACCTTTCAGTTTGCTGGGTCATTGTATCCAGAAGATTAGCAAAGACAAAGCCAGGGGTATTATAGTGGCTCCTGCATGTATGGCCAACACAGATATGGTTTGCAAAGTTGATGGAATTACTTGTGGAAAATCCAATAGTCATTCAAGAGAAAAAAGGTCTGTTAACTTTACCAGGGAACAAGCTCCCAGTGGAACATCCTCTAAAGGCCCAGTCACAATGTCGGCGATCTGTCGGGGATTAGTTTTGGCCAGGGGTTGTCGTAGAAAATAAAGAATCCTTGAACAATCCTAGCAATAATCCTAATAAAAGTGGAGCAGTCACATTGTCTGAGATTTTTTCAAGGGTTTTGACCCGGTTTTGTCGAAAAATCGTGGGATTAGCCTCCGATCGCCTCCGATTGCATCGGAGGCGATCGGAGACAATATCTGCGAGCGTCTTTTCTTGTAATTTTTTTACCCCTGGGTATATGTGTATACTAGTCTCAGATTATTCGGAGGACACCTCCGATTAATCGGAGGGCATCGTAGGTCATCGGAGATTATGTCTGGGATGCCCAAAATGGGTGAAAAATCTTGCGAGCAATCTTAAAATTTTAAGTTCAAAGTTGGGGACCGCGACGGGTGTGGCGATGTCTAAAAAATCTTCGACAGCCCGCAGGCGTCCGGAGAGCGCCTCCGACGGGTGCAAAATCGTGAGATCTGTCTCAAGATTTTGTTCAAATTTCCCGGGTTTTATCCATCCCCGATGCATCGCAACTGATTTGTGACTGGGCCTTTATGGACAAGTTGAAACTCATTGTATGCAAAGTATCAGGGAACAGTTTAGAGAACGAGGCTTTTCTGAGCAATCAACCCACATACTTATGTCATCTTGGCGTACAGGGACAAAGAAACAGTACAACGTGTTCATTAAACGCTGGTTCAAATACTGTGGTGAAAGGGAAATTAATTCATTTTCACCACATGTGGAAGAGGTGATAGAATTTCTTACAAAACAGTTTAATGATGGCTTAGCATATGACAGTTTAAATACAGCAAGAGGTGCTATTTCATCAATGGGTATTCAAATTGATGGAGTTTCAGCAGGGAGTCATCCATTGGTGATAAGATATATGAAAGGCATTTATAATTTGAGGCCACCAAGACAACGTTATGCTCAAATTTGGGATGTTAATAAAGTTCTGGTTTTCTTAAGGAAACTTTCACCAGTAAAGCACTTGACTTTGAAGGATCTGACTTTAAAACTTACAATGCTCATGGCATTAATTAATGCCACACGTGTACAAACATTGCATTTAATTTCTGTTGTTGATATGAAAAAGTTGAGTTCAGAGTTTGTGTTTCAGTTATGTGGTTTACTGAAGCAAAGTAGACCAGGTTGTAATTCATCACATATTGTGTTTAAAGCTTACCCTCCAGATAGGAGGTTGTGTGTTTATACTGTTTTAAAAGAGTATATAGCTCGTACAAAGACATTGCGTAGGCATAATGTTGATAAAAATTTGCTTATAAGTTATATGAAACCTTATAAACCTGTTCAAAGAGATACTATTTCTAGATGGATCAAAGTTGTAATGACAAAATCGGGAATAGACACTACTTTATTTGGTGCTCACAGTGTGAGAGCTGCTGCTGTTTCAAAGGCAAAAATGAATTCTGTGCCAGTGACAGATATTTTGAACAAAGCTGGTTGGAGTACTGAAAAAACATTTGCAAAAGTTTATGAGAAACAAATTGAGGATAAAGCTACCACATTTGAATATGGAGTTTTAAAAAGGAAGTAATAAGCACACTCATATACTAGTACGTACTGGCATGTATATGTATACATGAGTATCTGTTGATGATTTGTTGAAACTGTTCTAAACATTCTTTTAAGCTGAAATAAAGGCCATTGAATACTGGTTTATTGATGTTTGTCACATTTTACTTTAAAGTCTCATTTAAGACTGACCGATATTTTTATACGAAATAGAATTTAAAATTAAACGAGACTTACCTTGGTTAAGTCGATGTTTGATTGTAATTCTGTGAGTTACACTACAGTGAGTAACAGTGAGTTACACTACAGTGAGTAATTCTGTGAGTAACTCACAGAATTACAATCAAACATCGACTTAACCAAGGTAAGTCTCGTTTAATTTAAAATTTTTCCATGCTCACCAGTGGTAAACAAATTCATTCCCATATTCAAAGTTAGTCCCTGTTTTTTTTTTTTTTGTTTTTTTTTGTTTTTTTTTTTGTTTTTTTTTTGTTTTGTTTTGTTTTGTTTTGTTTTTGTAACATTCTCTTAAGAGGTTTCTTATTTGAAAGGCTCATGGAGAAGATGTAAATTACCTTGTTTTTACCCCCATAAACAAATGTTTGAATAATTAAAGATAGATGTTTGATCTAATGCTTGCCACATGGATATTTCATGTATGTTGCATAACTAAACGTAGCAAATTTGCATAGTTATTTCATGTTTTAATATAAAACACAACCAAAATATAAAGTACTTTAAAAATTGTTCATGTTTGTCTAAAGTATAAGTTTGCTTTGCATACAAAACCTAAAAACAAGCTTTGTTAATAATATGGGTGTGAATATGTTGTCCCTGTTTGACATTGAACTTGATTCAAATTGTGGATGTCAGTTGTGCATTGATGATGATTTAAAAATTTTTGAAGTTTGACACCAGAATCAAAACTTGACAAAGTATGAGGGCATTTGGAACAAGTTGATCTGCTTACTAACAGATCCTCGGATCAAATATGACCAACCCACATAAAAGCAGAGCTGACTAATCTGCTGATGATCTCCCCACCACCTCACACACCATGAAATGGATTAAATCATAGCTCTGAGGTTGAATTGTTAGACCCCAGCAGGCACAGCACCTGTGGAGGCAGGGAGACCATCAGTGGATTAGAGACCATTCCTACAGATATTATATATTTAGAGCCATCTATGTCCCTGGGAAGTCTCACTAGATTGCTGTCAGCTTAACCAGCTTAAATGTCTGTCACGCCTACTTGAAGCTATAAGGGGGTAACTTTTGTGCCCGCTCAGCTCCTGGAAGCTGACAGCAATTTAGCGTGAACCTCCAGGGAGTAAAAGATCGATCCAGATGGATCGCTCTTAATCTGTGGGAACCCAGTCTTAGTCAGCTCTCTGGGTCAGCCATAATTAATCCAGATCTGTTAATTTGATTCACTGATTATTACTCATAATATTGTATATTGTGCAGCATGATTGACTACATCAGAAAATATAATTTGATTTGAATTGTTCATTTGAATAAGGGAAATGTAAGCTGTTAAGTGTGTTATGGAAGCACGTGTTGTAAAATCTTATTACTCAATGACATATAAGCAGTTTTATTGATGTTTTAAAATTACTTTCAGGAAAATCTATTTGATGTATCCATATATGGAAAGGGGAGACTTGGATCACGTATTAAAAAATGCAGGCTCTGAACTAGAATGGCATCACAGGTGCCGCATTATATACCAAGTGTGTGGAGGCCTGCAATATCTTCATCCACCAATCAAAAGGGAGGATGTCACAATTAGGTAACAAAACAAAACATAAATACTTCAGATATATTTTGGTTACATTTTACTTTTCTATCATTTAAAAAAGAAATTTTTCCATGTCGCTAGATTGCCAAAAAACAAAATTTCTTTTATTTTTAAAAATTTAAATTGAATTATTTATATTTATAATATGATGGTTTTCAGGTAAATGTGTTATATATCGGACAAACCCATATTAATTAAAGGGATAATAACAATAAAAACATTGTGAATAACTCATAAAAATATAATAAATTCTGTTTTACCACAAAAACGGCAGTTATAGCTATTATTCTGATATCTGAGCTTGTCTTTAGACAACGTAACCTCCATTGATGGCTATACTTTGTTAAAATCTCTTAAGAGATTTTAACAAAAAACCAAACTTTTTAGAAAAAAACCAGGGACTAACTTTGAATGTAAAAATGGATTTATTAACCATTGGTTAGTATGAGAATTGTTGTTCACTCCAGGAAAATTCATTTTTTGGCCAAAACGAAGAGTTATTATCACTGTAAGGAAAATGTTAAATTTTACACATGAAGTTTTAATGTTGTTTTCTGTGCAGTAAAAGCCCAAACAATATATATACTGTAGCAGCATTCTTTACAGTTGATTTTTAGTAGATCAATAAGTTATTCATCTTGATAAGTATCTCAAATACTTTTAGGAATACTGTCCTCCAGATGGATGTCAAGCCCAGCAACATTTTGTTGGATCAGAATTGGAATGCCCGGCTTAGACTTCATGGACCTGCTGCAGAGGTTACTTCTGTTGACCACAGCGATCAGATTTACCAAGATCCAGATTTCCTTTCCTCTCAGGGAAAATACCGCAAGGAATATGATGTTTTCAGTGTTGGAGTGGGTAAGAAATTAAATGTTTAAGGCTAAAACTGACAAATCAGTGACTGTGCTACATGTAGCAGGGCCGTAACCAGCAATTTCAAAAGGGCAGTTCTTTTTCTGAAAAAGTGGACATTTTACCATGACACCTTCATGTACCTAGATAAATTTTTACCCAGAGTGGACCTTTTTCTGGCAAAAGGGTTTTTTTAACCCCCCTGACACCCCCCCCCCTCCCCTGGCTATGGGCCTGTGTAGTTTGTGCCAAATGTTTTCAAGACATATATATATATATATATATATATATATATATATATATATATATATATATATATATATATATATATATATATAAACGGAAGGGTGGGTTTTTTTTCCCTCCTTCTGAACCCACCTCAGACGTAGATGTCTGGCATGTTGCAGTTTTCTCTGATCCTTTTTTTTTTTTTAGTTATGTTGAAGTTGCTGGGAGCAGAAGAAGAGTTTTTGAAGGAGTTTAGGACTGAAGATGGAAAATTTCAAGTACAGGTGGAAGGGGTTACCAAAAAGGTGTGTGCTTGTGTGTATGTGTGTGTTTGTGTATAGATCAATTAATGGACAGTTGTGTTGTATTTTTTCTTGATTGTATAAAGACATTAGTCATAGAGTTATATATGTTTTTAAAACTTTGCCCTCTAGACCTTGAACTCGTAGGGCTTTACTTTATTTGCCTTTGAAGGTTATTATTAAGGCACATGAAGATGTCTGGCCTGGCTGTCCTGAAGGGGAATCCAACTGTACAACTGAGTTTGCTAAATTGGCCTTGCAATGCTTGAAACCAATTAACAGAATAAGCCTTGATGGCCTTCATCGTGACATTAAAAAGGTAACCTTTGTTTAGTAATGCCACGTAATTGGTATCATTTAAAATACTGATATTGGTATCATTAAATATAAAGTCAAAAAAAATGTTTTTGTAATTCAATGTGATAAGATTTTTTTAGTGACACATTTTGTTCTCAAAGTAAACATTTCCAGATCAACATAAAACTATTGGAAGACAATTACTTGTATATCCCAAATTTTGATGAATTATTTACTATTATTTGATGTTTAAAATTATCATGACACTCAAGCCCTTGTACATTAATGTCACGTGCAGTTATTATGAGCAAAATGGTTGATGACAATTATAATTATAATCAAGTTCTCAAGTTCAAAACTATTTGTCTTTTTGGTGAATGACAATTTATTTTTTGCACAGGAAATCCTTGATGTTGGTGACAAAATAGACACTTTTATCAAACCGAGTGGTAAATTATGTTGCAAATGCAACTTGAATAATGCTGGTAAGTATACAAGAAATACCTTTTGATATACATTTGAATTTTTTCCACAAAACCTTGCCAATTGCCTTCATATAGTTTTAGAAAGCTAACTTAAAGAAATAGCAAAGGGATATCATTTAATATTTCCCCAAAACAGTATTTGAACAAATATTTTCTGCTTTCTTACGGAAGCATTTGTTTTACTGTTTCCACTTTTTTTTTTTTTTTTTTTTGCGAACTTGAGGCTTAAAACCATGCTGTTAGTAATGAGATTGTTTGGATAAGTTTTAACTTTGCCTTTGACCAACCCTTTTGCAATACTTACTCGTTGCTTCTAATAATTTCGCATTACTCAGTGTTATTCAATGTTAACTGCTAATTACATGTACTACTGGTGCATTACATGTACATCATTTTGCAATAAATGTGCTCAACAACGACCAAAGTTTAAACATAATTCAGTCCTGTGTTTGTCCTTTATAGTATTTTTTTTCAAGTTAGAGTGATTCATTTAAATGTAATTCAAAGAGATATTAATGTTGTTTGTGCTAATTTTATTTTAGCTGAGGATTTACATCCAAGAGTCAAATGCAGCAAGCCAAGAAAAAGAGAAAAATGTGCGATATTTTGTCAAGACTGCCTAACGGATCACTATCGCAACCCTCTGTACTGTCCAACCCATGGCTTTACTCAGCCACCAATTGGTAAGGAATAGATTAAATCAATTACTTCTATCTGGTCCAAGTCAACAGAGAATAAATATCTATGAGCACAGTGTTAATTTATAGAAATAAACAGCTAAAAGTTAAGAGAAACAAGGTCATTTTAGTGATGCTCTGACTACTATATGCACTTTCATATATATATATATATATATATATATATATATATATATATATATATATATATATATATAATCTGCACGTCCATATTACTGCACAGCAATGGGTTATCATCTTTGAAATTCTGACAAAATATCCCAATGATTTGGATTACAATAATGGGAGTGCTTTCATGTGAAAGGGAATGGATTTAATTGTCTTGATACAATTTTATGTTTCCAAACATGGCTGTGTATTTAAAACTTTTTAATTATACGCCAAAAATGAGTGCTTATATCTGGGACAAAGTCTGTTTTGCAGCTGTACCTTGTGGGAAAGAAAGCTCTCAGAATAGTATTGTCATTCATGGCACACAATCTAGAGAAAACACAAAATTGTTGCAAATTTTGATGGATGAAGAAAAAGGCAGTTGTGCATTACAGTCATGTCCATTTTCAACTTCAGTACAAAGTATCATCTCCCATACACATGAACTGTACAAATCCTTTAATTTCTGGATTTAAATACCTGAAATACATATAATATTATATGATATACATATAAAACAATGTGTAAATAAATCCTGTTATCTGATCCTGTAATCATAGATGTTATGGCACAATCCTGTTTCGTTTCCTTAAGACTAGCATGACACGAAACCATAGCTAGCATTTAGTTTCATTTCCCCATTCAGGGACTTTATTGGCCCAGGGATTTAGTGTAAATAGTGTACATTTCCATTGATGACATAATGACCTGGTCACATATATATTAAATGAGACAAATTAGCTACAGCTGCCGTTTTTGTGGTAAAACATAATATATATTCCCACTTTTCGACATGTAACTCATGAAAAATGACTCCATGTTATCACTGTTTAACTGCCGATTTAGGAAGCAAAATTTCACAACTCTGTGGAGTCAAGTGTACTCTTCCCTGATAATTTTCTAATGTGTTTAATGTCACATTTGCTAAACTTTATGAATACGAAGGAAAATGCAATGCATATTCTAAGCGGAAAGTGCGCTCACAAGATTGGCGCCACATTAAAAATTTTGATGCCCATGTCTCAATGTTGTTACCCAAAATTGTGGACGTATATATATATATATATATATATATATATATATAATATGAAGCATATTTAATTTCTATATTTGAGGTCATGATGCCAGTTTTGCTTTACTGGTTGGTGGCTTTGATGAAGAGAATCCTGAAATATTTCAAAATGATGTCCTAGAGTTCAAAAGAGTTCTTATTAATCACAACATTATGGGTTTCAGGTATGTACAATTTATGTAATAGTACTAAAGTCAGTCTTGCTTATAAGGTAGCTGTATAAGAGAGCTTGCTTAAGTGAGTGAAACATCTTGGCTGATTCTTGTTTAAAGATTTCGATTCCGATTTCAACTTGTAGACTTTAATTATTCTCTACAATTGATATTTATTATCACTAATTAAAGTCTTTGCTGTTTTGACATTCATATATCAAAGGGATAATAACTCTTCATATGAGATCTGTATTTCACAATAAAAAAATTGTTAACAACTCAAAGAAATATAAAGGGCAGTTATAGCTATTATTCTGATATCTGAGCTTGTCGTCGGACCAAGTGACCTCCATTGATGGCTATACTCTGTAATAATCTCTTAAGAGATAATAACAAAAAAACCAAACTTTTTAGAAAAAAACCAGGGACTTACTTTGAAGGTAGAAATGGATTCATTGCCCATTGGTTAGTATGGGAAAATTGTTGTTTACTCCAGGAAAATTCATTTTTTGGTCAAAACAGTTATTATCCCTTTTAATAAATGCCTGCAAATATTTCATAATACCCACTAAATTATATGGAGTAAAGTAAAATGTCATGCAATATCTACCAGTACTAGTATCTATACATGTACCTAGCATCGGTTTTGAGTTTGTCAAGTTTATGCTCTTTGCATAGCATGGTTTTAATTCAACATAAAAATGTAACGATTTTAACTATAAATGATAATGATAACTATAAAGAATAATAATAATATTTTATAAAAGATCAATAATATTAATTTTGTTTTCAACAGGGAGAGCCAGGTGTACATGGTATTGTGTGACAGAAAGAAGAAAAAAAAAGCTACATGTAAGCAGAAAATTGAAGATCGCATCAGTGAAATCAAGAAGAAGACAGCAGAGCATCCAGAAGCCACGTTTGTGTTCTTTTACTCAGGGCATGGAACTAAGGAGGGTTTGAATCTACAAGGAGATGGGTCATTTCAAATCACCAAAAGAGAATTGCAGAAAATGTTTGAGCACTTGAATGTTTCAGAGAAACTAATCATTCTGGATTGTTGCTTTGCAGCTTCTAATAAGGTAAATATGGGGAAAGCAAGTTCCACTCAGGGACCATTAGATGTTTCACAAATAAATGATGAAAACTCACAGATGGTTGGCAAAGGCATGGGAGAATCACTGACAAAAGTCAAAGTCTCAGGAACTGATCCAGATGGTGATTCAGCTGGCAACACGGCATCCATCACACTTGCTGAATTAAGTGAAAGGTATTTGGATAAAGGCCACAATCCTCGTGATTCTGACAACTTTTGCCATTATGAATGGTGGTCCTGTACAGAGAATCAGATTTCTCTCGGAAATCGTGATGATAAACTAAGTGTTTTCACAAAGCACATGGTGAATGGACTGAGAAGTGGTCACAAATGCGGTCTTCAGGACACCACTGACCAATGCATGTTGTGTAAAAGATTGCAAAAAGAAGCACTAGCGAAGGGATACATTTCACCTGAAATCCTGAATAGCTATGTGTTTGAACATGTCAAGAAAGAATTGGCTAATTACAGAATCCAACAACCAATGAACACGCGTAGTGAGAAACGTCCTATGAAGATAGCATATTACAACAAGAGGCACTTGTGTCAGGAAGTAGTGGTTTTTACCCCCAAAGAAACACTGGTCATAAAACTGACAGATCAAGTAGAAGCAAAGCTGTCAGACATTAAAGATTATATAGCTGGAGAAGTGAAAGAAAAAGGTTTGTCATTTTATTCAGTAATGTTGCTTTTGATAAACTACTACAGGTAATAAGTGATGACAACTCTTCGTTTTGATGGGGAACCAGATTTACCTGGGGAAAGTGGCAATTTTCTCATATGTTCCAGTGGTAAATGAATCCTTTATGACATTCAAAGTTTGTCAATTGGTTCTTTAGTGTTGTTTTTTTGAAGTAACCTCGATTTTAAGAGATTATTACAGAGGGTAGCCATCTCTTAAGGACCATTTGGTCTGAGGGCAAGCACAGATCTCAGAATAATTGCAATTCTGTCATTTTCAAATTGATGGTTAAAATGGAATTTTTATATATTTTCTGTGTGTCATTCCAATATATCTATTATGGAATTTTGAATCTCCTATGAAGAGTTGATATCCCATTAATTGAGATGTTTCCTGGGGGTAAGATGTAGCGGCCAGTGTTTATTATTAGCATTATATTTAACTAAAGGGGTTGTCAAGTGTTCTAGTTGTCTGTCTGTTACAAAATTATTGTCTTCCTTATAATTTAATTAGAATTCCCCATAGGGGAATAATATTGTTTTTCCTGTTATTATTCTTATTCTTATTATTTTTCGTCAAAAAATTTCTTTCTAAAATTCTGAAAAAATTCATACTGATAGCCTATGAAAAGTTATTGTGGTCCTCCCAATTTTTTTGACCTTGACCTAATTTTCAAGGTCACAGAGCCTTTTAAAGTGAATTTTTTGCAAATTTCAAAATGCAATATCTCCTAGAATTTTCAACATTTTGACAAACCCTTTCAAAGGTGAGGTCACACAATAATTCTATATCATGTGACCCAATTTTAGGAAAGTAGGTCAGGTCAAGGTCAACCTATTGCAAAATATGCTCCAGGAGGTTGACACTCGGCAGGGGGTAAACCAGATGTCACAGAGCCACAAGGATGATGCAAAAAGTTGCCCTAGATATCTATTCAGTGTCGCTAATAATATTGACAATTGACCGATGAGTTTTTTTAATATAGATTTTTAAATATTAATAATTTCACAGAAATAGTGACTGTCAATTTCTCTATGAAATCGTGATTTTTTGTGATAACATTCTATAGTAAACTACCCCAAACATATGCACAACAGCCCCAAATCAAATGTCAAATTTGGCCTTGACCCTTATTTTCAAGGTCATTCAGCTATTTCATGGAGAAATATGAAGTGGGCCCTTTCAGAATATGGGGTCAAATTTAACCCATGAAATTCACATGACCGTGTAAAAGCATTCCCACACCTAATTTGCAGGGGAATCCCCCGCCACTGGCTTCAGCCAGTTGCAGTCTAGTTTAATTTGTATATCAATTTAGAGTCTCCCCAATGTCAGAGGGTAGCATACGAAAAGAGCATTATTTGTTATTTAAAAGCTATTTGTACTAGTATGAATTAAATTGATATGACAAACTTTCCCATGTAAACAAATTTATGTTACGTGAACAACACCTGCTTTTAAAGCAATAATAACTCTTCGTTTTGGCCAAAAAATGAATTTTCCTGGAGTCAACAACAATTTTCCCACACTTACCAATAGTTAATGAATCTATTTTTATATTCAAAGTTAGTCCCTGGTTTTTTTTCAAAAAGTTTGGTTTTTAGTTAAAATCTCTTAAGAGATTTTACCACAGTATAGCCATCAATGGAGGTCACCTGATCTGAAGACAAGCTCAGATATCAGAATAATAGCTATAACGGCTGTTTTCGTCGTAAAACAGAATATATTATATTTCTATGAGTTATTCACAATGTTTTTATTGTGAAATATAGATTTCATACGAAGAGTTATTATCCCTTTAAGTGAAATTGAATTAAATATTCTGTTGTTGCAGGGCTTTTTCCCTCAAGTGTAACAGGAGATCAGCTCTGTTTGATGGAAGAAGCACTTCATAAAGAGATTGATGATGATAAGGAACTTCAGCAGTCTTTGGACCGGAACTTTCCCTTGCACTGTTGCCTGAGAACAGCACAAACCTACTTCAAACTTCTGTCAGGGCCCATAGTGCTTCTGCCCATTGACAGGGAAAAGCTGATGGAATTGTTGGATCACCTAGTAATAGAAACTACAGGAAAAGAAGGCTTACTTTTCAAGGTACATGCAATTAAGGACTATTGTACATCCCAGCTAAGATTAGAAGTTGCTTGCAACAAATTCTGGTTCAGTCCATGTTTGTTTGGTCATCCTCAAGCTGGCCTAATTAAGGACTTAGATTGGGCATGTGACGAGAGGGAGGGGTCAACTTTAGGTTCAATTAAACCACGGAGATGTGAACGTATATGTAGTCTCATATGTAACACTCAGACTCTTGAACTTTACCTTTTTTTTTAGGCTGTGAAAGTAATGAACAGACACTACACCATTACGTTTTGTGCAGAAAAATATGAGGGAAATCCAATTAAGATTCCGTCACAGTACCAGCAAGATGAAGTCGTCAAAGAATATATTGGCACCATCAACTACGCCATTAACAGTATCCATGACTTGGACCAGGACGAGATGAGGGTAGTGAAATCTGGGGTCACATTTCATGTTAAAATAGTCATGGACAAATGTGGTAATACACCTGAAGAATTGGACTGGGCAGAGATTGTAATGGTCTACTGTAGCTACCTTTAGAGACACGTGCTAGTACTTGACTGAGTTTTTTGCAGGGATTAAAATATACAAAAGTGTATATAGCAAAAAGAACAAACATTTTTACCAATCTTACAGAAAAACATAGTAGATCAAATGTAACTTTTTTTTTTTTTTTTTTTTTTTTTTAATGTTGAATTGTGTATACTAGAACTTGTGCAGACAGCTTTCTTGAAAAAATTTAAACCATGTAAATAATTAATTTTGTGATAAGGCATTGACTTTAGAAGTAAAATCAGATCTAATTACTGGTACTGAGAAAATATTTTTAAGGAGTGTTTTGTAAGATACTATAGTTTACATGTACAGAGTATTTTTACATCTACAACAGGTTTGTAATATATATTTTTTACAGTTCTGATAGCTCTTTTGAAAATATCAGGAGAGGGTATTGACTAAGTTATACCCAGGTAGGTAGGTGATAAAGTCAATTAATACAGCCAGTCTGTATTAGGACCAAAAATATATGCCAGGCATATTTTGATCTTTTGTATAGTAATACTGTTCTAGCTGAGACTTAGTGAATTGCGACATACACCCAGTATGCACTGTACTAAGGGTTCCATTGGGTATTTTTGTTACCCAGTGACTTTTTCTGAGGTGAAACCCTCGTATTATTTAGTGTAATCTACGAAGAACCCCTTTTCCGTAACTTGTGAATACAGCTTTTCATTCTTCATTATTCATGATATGAAGTCATTATACTGGGTGATTTGGGATTTTCAGGTCACGTTTCCTGCATTTTCGATGAGATGCAAAGAAAGTTTCATTTACTGTGATTTGTGAATGATTTTTCCTGTGAACTGTGACCACCCACCACTCCCCCAATGGGGCCTTCTGAACTTGTACTACATATAGTAAAAAGAACCAGACTGTAGTTTTTACTAATGTCATAGTTACATGCAGGTACAAATGCCTGCAATATTCACATTGATGAAGTATGATTAAATGCAAAATACATGTTTTAACATATCTACAATACATATTTACATTATTCTGCATATAGTCTGAATAAGTTCATTTGCAAAGCACTAGTGGTACTCCAGTTACTATCAGACTAAGAATTTTAATTCTCTTAAAAGGCCTGTAGCCAGGTAGTTCAAAAGGGGGGAAGTTCTGAAAAAGTGGACCTTTTACCATATGTACACGTACCTAGATAAATTTTTACATGGAGCTGACTTTTCCCTGCAAAAAAGGGTGTATGTTCAACCCCCGCCCGCCCTGCCCTGGGCCTGCCATGTCTCTAGTAACTTGGTTAAAAATGCAGCTAGAGCCATGAGCATTATGTTGACATTTTTAACAGAATATGATTTGTCTAAATGTACATGCAATATGTGCAGTGCTTCATCGTAAGTGTTCTTTCTTGTTAAATGTGTATATATTAGTCCCCTGCATATGATGAATTGATAGACATACAATGTACATAGAAAGCTCTGAGCTGATGTGGTTAATTATTATACATGTATACATTAAATATGAAAATTTTAATATTAAAATATAAGGTTGAGTAAAACAAAAATATTTATGTTATTAATTTTTAGATGTATGCAGAACACTATATATTAAATGTAGCATAATATAGTTGTGTTCAGTTTATTGCGTGTGTTTGTGTTATATTTTGGAGAGCATATTTTAATTTGTCTTTGATTGCATGGACAATTTAACTGTCACCCTACTTATATTAAAATATAAGGTTTAGTAAAACAAAAACATTTATGTAATTAATTTTTAATGTATGCAGAATACTATATATTAAATGTAGCGTAATATACTTGTGTTCAGTTTATTGTGTTTGTGTGTCATATTTTGGAGAGCATATTTTAATTCATCTGTGATTGCATTGACAATACAAATGTCACCCTACATATATTAAAATATAAGGTTTAAAACAAAAATATTTATGTAATTAATTTTTAATGTATGCAGAATACTATATATATTAAATGCAGCACAATATAGTTGTGTTCAGTTTATTTTATGTGTGTCTCATATTTTGGAGAGCATATATATGGACAATACAAATCATGTCACCCTACTTATAATGTAATTTTACCTGAAGTAGTTCCTATATGTGGTCACTAGTATGAAATGTGTGCATTTTTGGCACATGCATAGGGTATAGTTTAGTAATCTAATTATACAAGAGAGAGCATTTAGATAAACATTTATTGTATATATGCATACATGTAGTTACAATGATCATAAAAATAAGAAAATGATAAACGTAAGAGGAATTTTATTTTAAGCGATAAGGCACATACTTCAAAACACAGTTGATGTTCATATTCATTATCTATACTACTTTAATAGGAGTATTTGTTTTAGGCTCATTAGATGTGACAGATCCTTATGGTTTGAAATGGTAAACCAATAAATAATGTAATACAATATAAACTACAGAGATAATGTTGCTGCATATGCTGGAGAAAGGTGACACGTGTAGTTACTGAAGGTGGAAGTATTTGTGCTAGTAGGATAATGAAAAGCCAAAGAAATGATGTGTTCTATCTTGACATTATTGTTACCAGTTATTAGTACAAATATGCATGTAAAAGTATTTTGTGTTACAGTTAGTATTTTTTACAGCTTTTTCGGGGCCATACAGTAATAGTTCAAAGGTCTCTAAAGTGTATAGTGTACTAGCAATAAAGTTAAGTTCATTCAGAGGTGCCTGCATACAATTTTTTGGACCAATGAACTTTCGAACCTGGAGGTTATGCTTTTGGTTCTGTTTGTCTGTCTGACAGATTTTGATGAAATTTTAAGAAACTGTCAGGATCGAGGGACCAAGTAATTAATGATTGGATTTTGATGATGGTCCATTAATTAGTTAATGTCTGTAAGCAAAATTATGCAAAAGTTCATGAAATTTCCAGTTCGATCCCTGAATTAATTAGTAAATCAATAATTAATTAATTGATAACAATTATGAGAATTGAATTGCCTTGGCAGCTAGAGGTTTGTGCTCCCTGAGTGCTTCCCTTTAAATAAGTGTCCATTCCTTTCCTCTTTTCATTTTTGTATATCTACGTTTCCAAAGTCAAAATAAATCTGTGGATTGATATAACTGATACACTGTATTTCTGTTGTTATTGTACCACCAGCGTTGGCGCTAGCGGTACACATGGTTTTAGTCCCTCCGGTCCGTTCCGTCGGCTCCGCCGCCATGTTACCGTTACCGCTTCTCCTCCTAGATGGTAAGGGCCTCCATACCCATCTCTTGGATTTAGGTCACCTATAATCTCAACTCGTTCCACGTAAAATTGGGGCTTTGTCGGTATTGGGGTCTAGGTGTGGCACTCATTGCAATGCACCCTTGTCCAAAAATGGCAAAATTAAATGCTAATTATCTACCCTACGGAAGGAATTATGGGAAAAATTTCTACAGACGGCTTTCCAAAAGTCATACGTGGAGATTTCAAATATGCCCTTGGATTTGACCTTTGACCTTTATTTCAAGGTCAAACGGGCCAAAATTTTCAAAAAAACAAAATTTTTGCCGAAAAAAAAATTATTTGCGGTCTTATTCAGACACCACACAGACTTAACTAATAATATTAATGGAAAGTGTTACCCTTCAGGTCATCTTTCATCTCCGTGAATTTGGGGTCAATCGGTGCATTTTCAC